AAACATTTATCCACCTGGTCAGTGGATTTTTTTAATTAATTTTCATCTCAAAGCTACTAGATGAAGGAAGCACTTCGCTGTCGCCTTCGTAGTACGTTCAAGATGCCAGACGTTCTGCCTTGAAGAACGAATGTTAACGTCGTAACATTTGACCCACGACTGCTACCAAATAAATTCAAGCTGCGTTCTATGAACTGAAAACATATGTAGATGAAGCATGTCAGATCAAGGACAATTGTCATCGACACTGATGGTCCACAGACGTCTCTGTGGACCATCAGTGTCGATGACACAATATATGAGAAAATAATCTAGTAGTTACTATATGTATATATATGCTTTTTGGCATTATTTATTTTTATTTGTTCGCCCGCATCATGCTTCAAAATGTACGCAACAATATTACATATTAATTAATAAAAACATCTTTATTGGAGGTATACATGCCATATTGCCGGTTCGTATGGAGTGGAACAGGAGTTAGAAACATCGGATGCATTTTCGCAGCTGTATACACATGTACGGCCCGCGGAACTGACCTATACAGCCATAGACAGTCGAATATATCGCTACTGTATCTATCTGATATAAGCCTATCCGCGCGTGCAGCGAAGTAGGGTTGGATTGTCTTTGCGCTAGCTAACGATACAATGGTAAACCTATAGGAAGATCCGGAGGCAGACCATAATCTGGCACGCCCTATAGCGCCGTGAGGAGATCAGTTTTCGCGTATAAAAGGCCCTTTCATTGATGTCCAGATAGCTAAATCATGGCTACGAACATAAACATGTCAGACACCGAAATATATAACGTAGGGCCCGTATAAAATCGAATAGGTTACGTACTATTGCTTTAGTGAAGCCTGAGGCTAGGTTAGGTGCAAATAAGATCGAAAAGTTCGTCTACTATGTGAGCAACTCAAAACTGGTCACTACATAGAATCTATTTGTCGATTTTCAGTAGATAAGGAGACTTGTTCTCTTGTTGAACTCGCAAGTATATATATATAGGTCGCCTAATTTTTTCTGGCTGGTCTGATGGCTAGTGGCGTTTCTGGCCGTCACATAACAGAAGACATTTTATTCACACAGATTGTGTTTTGGTGTGTCAGGATTCGAAGCAACGACTCCTGGTTCTTTCAACCAGAGACGGTGGTCGTATTATGCAAGGTAGTCACTTTTACAGAATGACAACAGCTATTAGAAAGGAAAAAGAAAAGAGGCGTTCATGGAAACTACTTTTCGTCTTCGCAGCTGTAATGCATTCTGAATTTCTACTCGAATAGCGACAGTAGATAGCAATTGAAAGATAAAGAACAGTGGATTTTTATTGAAAATTTAATATCATCCCATTCCGAATAAATACATGTTCAGTGTGTGCTCGGATGACTTGGAGCAATTTCTTGCTTCTGAATTACACATAGGTACTGTGAAACGCTGAAAGACGTCATGCCCTGGACGAAACAAAAAAATGAACACCTTTTAGCGATGAAAATGAGAAGCCTTTTTTCGTACCGCATGGTTACAAATGTACGTGAGTATATAAAGTTACGCATCTACAGAATATCGCGCTTACCGTACGTAAAACGTGTGACAACTACAAATGCTGTGCTCTTGTTGTGTACGAATGACTGAAGAGATGAAACGATGTGAAACCTTCTACGCTCCACTGACCTATAAACTGTCTATTTCGATATTAACAGCGTGTCACATCTAAAACAACTCAATTATTTTGGTGTGTAGAATTTCGACAGGCTTCGAATAGATAAAGGCAAGTGTCGCTTACCATCTATGGTATAGCTTGATTATTTAGTCGAGTATGCTAGTTACTGGATGCGTAATCTCACGAGGCTGGTTCTGGACACGATTCTACGTCCATGCACACATCTTGCTCCCTTGCTGCTTCTTTCTACTATCTTATTTGAAAAATCTATAAACGATCTTACGTAGCATACTTAACTCTACGGTTATATCTGGCGCAGAACTTCCCACTTACCTAGTTTACTCGGAAAACACAACGTTTGTTAGATGTTTTTCATGAGCAATACATCTAGTGGTATGTCTTAATCATTACCGTCCTTTCATTTAGTTTGTATTAGAGTCGACGTTAAATGGCAACGAGCAGCTTGGGTGGCAAGCGTTATTTTACGGAAATCGGCTTCAGGGAATGTTTGCGGCAAGGACCCTCTATAGGTCATGAAAAAGTTGGATTCAAGAGTTATGTGCATCATAAAAGTTCGATTACCGTAAAACTTTTAGACCTCTTATGAGCCCACGATAGGTTCGGTTTATTTCGGCACGCGGTACAGGCAGTGCCGCGAACGCAGCAATTGTTAAGCGGCTCAAATTCAATTTATTATTTGAAAATAGCTTTCTCCGCCCCGTCTCCTTCCGCACGTAGTTAGACTAGATATAAGTTTTTTAGCTTCACACGTTAAGTTTTTGGCGTGTTTTTTTCCTATTCAATTTCCTACAACGAGCCATGCTGCTGCACTTCGACGAAGTGATAAGCAACTAATAAATAAGGACTTCAACGATGGTATTCTGGCAAATAGTGCAGCAAAGGCTGGCATGCACTGCTCGAGAATAGGTATACGATTTAAAGGAAAAGACCTACCTTCACCCTAGGTGTCCCGTTATAAATATCTACACTCTCATGGGAGAAGAAACGCCTTACGGATGCAGTACTCAAATTAGCAATGCTCGTAGGAATCAATCAATTCAGCTGAAGTGAATGTCCTTCACTAAATCGGATAATGTAATGACTCGTACTTGACCGTGCTATAGATAACGAAAGTGTCTTAAACTGGTCTTGATATAAAAAATAAGAAAAGTACTATTTTACGTTTAACTTATTTCTGAAGAATATACTCCAGATTCGTTGAAAAGTCGACATCAGCTTTTGCGCTGTGCACCACCATAATCTATCAAAATACCGCCAGACAAAGATCGTCAGTGTGAGGTGAAAATCTATATATAGGCTATATTGGGTGTAGACGGAGACATTTGCCGGGCTTTTTTGAAGTATTTCTTGCTATACATATTTGCTCACAGCCTTGATACTGTATGCCTCTATCGACTCTGTCGATGATTTTGCACATATAATACTCTATATAACGTATTCGATATTTACCACTGTTGTCATCTAGTGTGTTTATTAAAATAGATAATAAAAAATCAAAAGTTTAGCTGACGCTATTGTTCTTCTTTGTTTACCTACATACGTCACTTTTGGTAAAAAGAACTTTATATCCGATCAGCTCGAGGTTAGTGCAGGAGATTCTGGCTCGGACCCGTAACGTCCGGAACTTTTTTATAGACCATACTCTGTAGTTGGCATTAGCAATTTTCCGCGAACTATTATACAACATACGGCGAGCAAAAAATTGATTTTGGGTGAAAACGTGATTTTAAATTTGTCAGATGACCCAGTAAAGGTTGTCGTTAGGCGCAGATATGCGTATGATCTGTTTATGACCAGTAATTATAAAGTGGCCTAATCAAGAAGTAACGACTACTTACGGATGGGTATTTTCACATCAGTGGGCTTTGCCAGGGAAACTATAGGGTCAACTTTATTGAATTCGTAATTCGGTAACAGTAATTAGCAGATCTATAATTACGTAAGTTGAGACACATACAGGAAGGCACGTACGGTGTTCCACAATCTAAACATAGTACGATATAACACTGCGATTAGTAGACCACGACCGGCTGGAGATAAACACAGTGTTTCGAATTACGCCAAATCCATATCATTAAGCCAACCATTGTTATATGTATAACACCAAGCCAAGGGGTTTGCTAAAGCCGCATCAGTTAGTCTGACGTCAGATTTCCAATGTGCTGCCATGCCGATATTGAGCACGTTCGACAAACAGTCATAGTACACGCAACTACGAGTGACGGAAATCGTCGGACAACTTGACGTGACGCCTTGTTTTAATAATGGTCATGCATAGGAAATCAGCGCAAAACGAATGAAACCGGAAAAATCCAGGCTGACGTGCCTGTCCGCTGTGGTGAAAGACGAAGAGAATAATCACGTGCGCAATGCATAGGTGCACGAATCTTTACCAACACGCATATTTAATTCCGTATATAATATAGCGATGTTTTTACATCTTATTTACATATAGGGTGCGGCTGCCCCAGACAAAGACGATCACGTAACTTTCGTCAGATTTTTAGTAATTTTACTACATTTAGATTACTATGCCTAGTGAATATAGTTTAGCCTGAATTTGGTTGGAAAAGATACGCAATAGCTGACATACGGCCGCTGCTTAAAACGTGACCCTTTATAGCGAAATTATTAGACCTACATTTTTCGTGTTAAGAAAGTGTCTTTGAAGCTAATAACTATGCAAACACAGAAGTGATGGCTCAGATCAGGTTAGATCTCAGGTACCGTTTCAACAGCGTTAGCTGAGGTAACAGCTTGCGAACCTCATTGATCAAGAAAATCTACTCGGTTTAAAGTAAATCAATCTAATTGCCTGCCCTCGCATGACGTGGCTAGTCTGCATGAGTGTCACTTAGATAACGTAGTGTCTAGCGTTGTTCAAAAATTAGCGTTTGGTTTGGAGCCGACTATTTCCCTTTCTCAAAACCTACTTTTTTCCGGTACAAGAAAAACCGCTATGATAAACATAAACAATGTTGACCGCCTGCTCTAATCGCACTTACGTATGTATTGTAAAACTACTTTTTTTTTATAATTTCTTAGATGCTTATTGCATTTTTTTTGGTTTGATTGATCGAAAAAAATGCTTATATTTTATTTTTCCAAGGAAATACTGTTTTGCGTTGTACTCTTGTGAGCAATCTATGTGAGCATAGATAAATAGAGCTACAATGAAATACCTGCCCGTTCAGGCAGGATATAGATATAGAAAGGCGGTTCAATGAAGAAATGTACGTTCTTCTGTACCTTCTCGTCTGTACAGACTAACCACCTAACTTTACTCAAAAAGCACTAAGATGTTTGAAAGTCAACTCGATTTTATCCCTAGACATGGCTAGTTGAAAATTTTATTGAAGGTAAGAGTACACATGTTGGGTGCAGCGGGCATGGGGCACTGTCAGTGCTGCGAGTCGGTAGAGATACCAAGACCGCGTAGTAGCAAAAGATCACGTATATCGACACGAAGGGACTGCAACAAAAATACTCACGCATCTCGCGTTTCTATGGCTAAGTAACCGATAAAGGCAGGGGAAATAGAAAAGAAAAACAGGCGATCGACCCAGTTTGCAAGGCATTTGATCTACATAGGAGATCTTTCCTCCGCAACAGTGGGTAGTAGATATATCAGGTCGTTTTTCTTCGTAATGGACGGCGCTTCCCCACGCAAAGATTATGGCCACCTAAGCGGGCTATTGTAGTGCCTTTGACGACAAATGAGACGTAGCTACAAGTGTGACAAAAATGAAGATAAAGTTGAAAGAAATTGTTAGCCTCTGGGGTACCAATGCCAAACATTAAAACATAAAGGTTCTGGCGGTTATCAAAAACTGAGTTGTTTCAATTTGACGTGCAGATTTATACGTAGGTATATACATATATATAGGACGCAACGTGGATTCCCTAATGGTTAATTCAGGACAAGAAGGTGACTTGTATCTCAAGTTCAGGCTGAAATTCGAATTGTCTAACAAAATTTGATTTCTGGTACATTTTTTCTGAAATAGCATGATAAATGGATGCTTGTTATGCTGACCGAATGCTATAATTCAAAAGTGAACTGCTTGGGAAAGTGTTCGATATGATCAAAGCATAAATCCCACCCCAGCAAAACAACAAATCTGCGCCCATCTTTATATTCGCATATAACTGACCCTTAACTTATATTGCCTTACAGCTTCCAGATCCGAAGTTTCTTTGCTTACTCTTATGCGAGGGTTAAACTGAGAGAGCTGAGGTCGTATATGATTGAATATACGGGTAACTTTTCAGTCACCTATGTCACTACATGTGTATTGCGAAATATGTTTAAATACAACGAGAAGCAAATAAAAAACGTTTCACATAAATAATGAACTACGTAGAGAGTATCTCTGTCTCATATAACATATATATCTGCTGCGAAGAGAAACCTGAACGGTGGAAGGCACACCAGTTACAGGCCAGAGATAAAAATACTTCTAGCAAAAATCAAGACTGGCTCGTTTCAGTCTTCTTCAACGTTACTCGACTGCCTTATTAAGGATGAGATTATCCCCATACAACTAACAAAAAGCAACTGGACCTGTATAGTTGTTTGCCTTTTCGTGCATCTCATCTTGGCTGCCTACTCAGTGGATGGTTACTGGCAGTGATTGAACCGAAGTGTGCCCTGACTGCCTCGTGAACGCCTAAGTGGATGCGGGTGAGGTAGAACCGTTGGTGTTTTCTTAAAATAGAACAACCAATATCACCTTCTTAAGCCTGGTAGCAGTGTCTTCCTTTTTCAATATCGGTCAACGACACGTACCGGCCCCCAATCGTCGTCGAGTGTACGACGTAATGTACACGTGCAGTAGCCATAAATGAGAATTAAGGGAATGTAGCCGGTTAGCCGAAGAGCCCAAAGCGACCCAAAAGGGGTAAACGGTTTTCTGGTTCAGGAAGATGGCTTACCTACAGAAGGTGATCAATGACGTCATTTGCCTCGGACCGCGCATTTGACTGTGTTGTGTTATCGGCAACAACAGTAGCAGGCACCGTTTTAGAACCACTTTCACACGTGGGATGTTGTGTCATATTAATACCTGTATGCTTGTTCGGCGTATCGTTTCCTTCAAACAATAGATAGCCTCTGGTAAAAAATTTGGTCAATCAATTTCCACTTTTGATTGGCTTTAATGACATCAGATTCGGTTTAGTGCTCTGCTATACTGAATACATTACAAGTGAAGCACTGCAGGTTTATGCAGACGGCTGTATCACTTCAAGGGAACACGCAATTACCTACATGTGTACCAAAAGGCAACTTTACAAATTGACCATAATTGATTTAATATGTGTATTGAAAACAACGTCTGAATTATTTGCCATATCGGAAATTATGCGCGCTCGACGGCATAATTATGCCTCGCATGTCGCCGAACGAAGTAAGCGTACGTAATTTATTTAGCGACTATCTATCGTCTTTCTGCAACAGGCACTACAGGTCAGAGATACCTTAACGTCAGATGAGCGTGGCCGCGTCAATAAGTGTGCCTAGTTTTAGTACGTAATACACATGCGACAAGATTTGTACTCAGGGGTTTTACATAAAATTAAACTTAAAAGCTCGTAATTGTATCTACGTGGCCTCGACGAGAGCTCGTGTTTCGATGGCTGTTGGCAGGAGGGTCGACTTTCCATTCGGCTCAAAAGTTTAATATTAATAAACACGTCTGCGTGCTCTTATCTGGAATAAGCTCCTTATGACCACCTAAAGAAGTTTCGACGGTTTACATGACGCAACTGAAGGGCTTGGCTGATTCTTTTGCGCGGAAGGGAACCGGAAAGAAAATTCCTAGGACATTACTTGGCTGCTAGGGCATACACATTTCACTTTTATTGGGCAAAAGGCCATCCGACTGGTTGAATGAGACACAGAGACCAATTTATGTAGAGGAGTATTTTCGTGTCTACCATGCAATCCTTCACTTGCAAAGCAGTACTTTAAGCTTTCATCCTTAGTCTGCAAAAACAAAAAAGCAGGGCTGCACCGCTAACAAGGTTAAACCATATATGGTATACTACTACGAAATACGGGTATACCGGGAGGTACGAAAATATACCATAATCCGCTTTAATGTGCTCCAGAAAACGGTGTGTATCACGTGAACTATGTCGTGGATGAAAAATCAAAATATGTCATCTACCTTTTCTAATCTTTCTATTTTCGAGAAGACACAATCTGAGACATAAAACACCATTTTAATGTTACAGGCTCTAAAGGAAGAAGCGTTCAATTTTAGCGTTGCAAGAATCCTATTGGTGACCAAACTTTCGAAATATCGTCCGCTAAAGTCGATGACAATATCATAAATAGTTAAGTTGATTAGTTAAACCTTTCAATAACTTGTGTCTAAAAGCATTGGAAATCGAAACGCATTTGTTGCACTAGATGCCTGAATTAACTTGATTTCGTTCAACTTACAGAAGCAAGTCAGTTGTAAGCGCTAATTAATCTTTTAAATTTCAAGTCTTTACAATAGATTCACTTGCACAACGTAAGCTACGACTTTCCGTAAAAAGCCCGAGGAAAACACCAACTATTAGTGTTAATCATGTTTTCACCGCTATTAGATTATTTAAAGCAGATATCATAGATTAATAAGATAACACTTTGTAATTTTTTCTGCAATGTAAAAGTAATGCTAATTCCCCTCAAAAAACACCGCTAATAAATTTTCAAAACTGAAAATTCTGCAAATATATATAATAAGGTAGAAACGGTATTACTTATACTCTCCTGTCCTTTGATTTGATTTGAACTATTTTGCTATTACTTATTATTATAAACTATTGCATGGGTTTCATTAACAACAAATTAGTTTAGGTTAGTAATCGGTTAGGTTAGATAAGCCAGAAATTGTATAGGTGCACGGCAGAATATTCGATTTTTGTCCAGGGCTCCTACAATAATCTGAGAACACATTTATTTGAGTCGCTCAAGGCTGGGCTGTAAGAGACACTTTAGGGGATGATTTGACTGTGTAAGGTATTTTTGTGGATAGCCCGCAGAACGCTATATGCCGTTGACCGTTAATAAGCGTTAGCGAATATTTTTTTAAATAGCACGAATTAAATATTGGCCGTAATGTGCGCTAATTTTACTAAATCACCTTTATTCGGGTTTGAGTTATTGTGTTTAGCCATAAAATAGACAGAGATACATACGGCAGATTGTAGCGTTGGTAAAAGTATAGCTTAGAAGCTTGTGAGAGCTCAATAGGCCATGTCTATATTTTACCCTTTCCTAGAGAGGTATTTTTAAAGCGTATCGAAAAAAGCTTACCCGATCGCTCGATATGCGGAAACCGAAACCCCGACTATGTTGGCCTTTTATTGTAATGGCCTGCTCGGCTCAGATAGTCCTACCAGCAATCGTGTTTCGATGTAGCCTTTTATAAAGGATAAAAATGCCGATGTTTAAATTTGAGTCTATAGGCCAACGGTAAGACAGAAGCAGATTCAAAATCAATCGATGACTCACATCCACAAGCCTTATTTCGAATAAGGTCAAAACCAAGCAATATGATGCGCTGAAGCTTAGCAAAGTAAATAAGTAAACGTGTTCAATAATTTCTGCTCAACGCTCGACGAGCTATGGACATACTAGTTTCTCAAAAAACTATTTAAGAAATCAAATAAAGCCATACTGCAGTAAGTTCGATACCCCGTTGAAACTATGGTAATGCCCCTAACAGCATGTACAACATACCGAATATTGGTAGTTTACTAGTATATAGAGTTTTTTTTTGTTTTCTTTTTATATAAACGCAGTTAGGATACATAACAGCGACTCAAGAGGTGCATAAGAAAATCCTAAAGTTTCCATTAACAAAAGCCAGTTTTATTTTTTATCGGTCACAATTACTTCCCCACCAAGTGATGACATCATACTATCATAAAGAAATGTATGCATGTGGCTTCGGAAAATTGTTACCGCATATAGGAACACTTTGAAAGCTTTTCAGATTATTGTTCGCAGAGTGAGAAACGGTGATAGCCCAGTGTAAAAATGGGCCAATATGAGATTGGATCATATCAACTAGTGAGCAAAAAATGTAAGGTGAGGCAAGAAAATAAGCGAAAATTAAAACGTTTCGTAAACTAATTGCGCACACTTTAATCGGAGAAACTAATCATCTGCGGACTAGAATAATACATCCACAAGGTTCCTTGTGTCTAGGCCAGCGACCCAGCAAACCTTGAGCGTAGGTAGTAGTGAATTGAGCGCAACAGAGGCAGTTAATATCTTTAAGTCTGGACAATTATAACACGCCCATCAAGAACGAATAGGCCAGCGAAAAGAACTATTTCCTAAGTACCGTTCGAAAAGAGTAGGTATATTTGAAAAGCGTTTACTCTACGCTTAACAGTAACATAACTAAGTTTGTTGCAAACGAGATGTTATTGGAAAAGGTCGCTTTTTTCTAGCGATTAAAGTCATAACGCCCGAAGATTTCACAGAGGCTAAGTCAATGACAGAAGAAATACAGCGAAATCTCATAGGACGACAATGTAAAAATACTGACAAAGAGGCCTTGAGCGGCGATATTATCTTTGTTTTTCCTTGCTTAGTTTTTGCCTTCACGTCAACTTATTTTTGCGAAGTTGATCGTGCCGCACAATAGTTCTAGCTAAAATGAACGAGGCAGGCATTAGCCTCTCTTCACAATTAGTTATAATAACATCGTATTAGGCAGGCGTACGCGTTGTAAAATAAACATCCCATCTTTTTCTGGACAATACGAATCTGTCTGGTGTAGCTAAGGAGCGCACACGTTCTTTTCGCCCCTTGCCTCTTGGTGGCTTTGGAGCTCTTGTTTCTCGGAGTACGAACATATTGCACGTAGCTTCTTATTTACGTTAGCACAGTTTTGAACAAGTAAAACAGTTCACTGTCAACGAAGACGTGTAATGATTCTTCGCAACCAAATAGTAGGAACGTCTGAAAACATCCATTTGTAGAAATGCTACAGTAAAAAGCTTTTTGGGCATTTTAGCTCTAAAACTAGTCATAGACTAACTTCTAGCATTGGATTTGGCATAATATTCTTCATCTGGGTTTAGTTTTCGATATGTAGAACGGATCTAATTTACTATCAGTAGCTTTGCTACGTCTTCACTTGCCTGCATTCTCGTAATAGTTGAGTACCAGTCTGCGCAGTTGGGTAACTTGTTGCAAGCGAATTCAGCTGACTTTGAAATGAAGTCATTTTTGAACTACGCGTCGCTAGCATGTAACTACTCTAATCCTCTAAAAACTTGCGCCTTAGAGCTGGTTGAGCTTACTTCAGAAAGAAATCACTTTAGAAGGAAAAAATATTTTTTGTTTTATCTTAAAAATCAAAGCTCAGTGATAGAGATTCTGTTTTTCCAAGGTCCCACTCCTGTGGAAATTCGTCAAGGATTAGTGAGATGGAAAAAGGTTTTAACCGAAAGCACAGTACGCGAACAAGGCAGACATTGGGACGGAGATTAAAGTGTTGCAGACCAATAAAGTGGCAGTAAAATTGCTAGCCCAGGACCTACAAGTAATCATACATTACTGTAATCCGGGAATCTTTCTATAAAAGTAGAGCCTCAAAAACAAGGACTGACATTTTGCATGTAACGTCTTACTGAATTATAACTCAAATACTGAGACTCCAAGTCAGCTGTAAGTGCGCGTGATGTATTCTACAAGCAAATAGCGGAGCGTTAATCAACAAAAGACTTGAAAACACACAGTATAGTTATTTGGTCACAATGCCAGCCCTGATCAACGTGCCTCAATTATGTCCTGGATTCAACGTACCTCTCATCCCGTTCTCGGTTCGTATCATTCACAGGGCTTCCCATGGATTAAGACAGACAACTATTACTACTAGTCACCAAACATATCGCATTATCGATTCACCTCAAGAAGTTATGGCTAGTGACTATATACGGGAACTCGAATATGACTGTCCAAAACATTGATGCAAAAAATAGAGGAGATTACCTTTAATACATACTTAAAAAAAACATCGTTCCAGCCGGACCAATTCAGTTTTAGAACTCCATTGCTTT